TTTAGGGTTATTACATTCACCCCTCCTTATAGAGAATTCTTATAAGGTTAAGAGACTTTCCAGAGTCTCTTATTCCCCTTTTTAACATGATGAAAGTTACTTTTCCCTCACAGCGGATTCCTTCCCTCCAACTAAAGTCCTCTTTCCGGTTTCCTATCAGTCCCCTTACGCCTTCCTTCCGTATGCCAGATAAAATTTCCTTTCCTACCTTCCCGGTCTTACATACTTGAAGTGATACTTGATCTCCGAATCAAATCGCATCTACTTTGTTCCCTCATGATATGTCTTCAGCCAATCATCTTTCAACCATCTTTGTCGAGGGTCCATCCTTCCCTTATGTTTAAGTACTTGGGGATTCCGACGTCACTATCCATGTGCACGCATTGGAGGTTTACCAACCATCGTTCCAGTCCTCGGCCATTCCTTTGGCCGGACAGAGTTTCCTTCTCGGTGTTCACTAACCTTCGGACATCTTTTCATGCCTTGTGACGCTTAGTCTCTCACTCTGTTGGATCACCCTATTCCTTGGCAATACGTCTCCTGTACCATTACTAACCGTTCCATCCGCTTAGCTTCATTCCTATGCTTTACCATTTCGGTCCTTGGTCTTTGTAACCCAAACTATTGGGTTCCCGACCCAATCTATCTTCCTCTACTAGTCTCTTCCCTTGTCGCATTTTCACTCTTACTGACTTCTTCCTCGATGCTTTCTTATCTTACTGACCTTCCAGCCTTGATCTTTGGCAGAAAGGGGGCACTTTAGGGCGATTGGTGCGAGAATCAGAAAGAAAGGTTCTTACTAAGAACAAAATCTCAACACTTAGGCTTTAGACCCAACACTTCTCAAGCCTAGCTCTAAATCTTTGTTTTTGCGCCTTAAAGTTAGCAAAAATTCTAATTTTCCCTTACCTTAGAAAATGGCTCAACTCACTCTTTTCTTAGGCTAACACGGAATTTCTCAATACTAGCCTTATGATTCTTTATATACGGAAGCCTAATGATGCGGTCATCAAACATGAAACTGGCTTAGAGCTCCATCAAACATACCATTCAAGCCGCATAGGATTCGACAAGGACATATGTGACTTTCTTAGAGCATACTGAATTAAACACGAAAATTCAGAGCATCAAACCACTTGGGAAACGTTCTCAGCTCAAAGACAGAAAGCCATGAATTTGAATCAACCCATTAGGAGTTTTGACGAAGGAGATCTTCAGTGTACAAGTCGAGTGTTTCTGGACTTACCCGATTTGGACATATGCGCGTTAAAAGAAGGATTCCGACCAAACTAAGAAGAATTAAGCCATGAGCCAAATTGTTCCAGATTCTTGAGCCATCAGAGAAATAAGGAGAATTGGTTTGAGGCCAATATCGGTTCAGAAATAAAATTATTGATTTTCTAAACTTGCCATTCTTCAGCTTGCCTTATTTGGAACCGTCCGAGTTTGGGAGATTGCAGTCGTATCTTTGGAGACCAGGAGACCTTCTACATCAACTAGAAGCTCTACAAGACGTCATTAGCTCTATCAAAACGCATAGGATCGATTGATGCTGCAAAAGGAATGACTTACCTTATTCAGACCCAAGCGCATTCAATATGATCACACTTGGTATTATAAATCTCCAACGACTATATCTTCACTTCTGCAGACATCTAAGCACATTTTTAGTGAATTAAGACATCCCAAGACATCATATATTCACGCCCAAACTCTCAAGACTCAAGGAACATCACAACTTACTTTATTTGGCCAGATTTCACATTAAAAGCCCAACGACTAGTTTTTCTTTTAATTATGCGATTTTTTTCTTAGTTTAGGCTATTAGAACGTTGGGAAAGAGTTCTACATAAGCTCAGCTCGAACCATTGTAAAAAGACACGCTTGATCATAGTTTAATACAATGTATTGTTTTTCTTCAAAGACCGAGTGCCTTTGATTTGTTTCTTTTCATTTTGAGTTTAGTGTGCGAGACACTCTTTTCTTATGAAGCCACATATCACTTTGTTTGTGTGATTCAAACAATCAGTTTCGTCCAATTGATTGAGCGAGTCAATCACTTCCCTTCCATCACTACCATCGTTTCCACATTCCGCAAGTCTAGGCTTGGAATCTCTCGATCATCGAGTGGTCTTAGAATTTGAGTGATTACGTTCCTATATCATTTGGTATCAGAGCTTAAGAGCTCCTATACAAGGTTGTGTCATTCCAACTTATATCCCTTTTCAATTCTGTTTTGCTTTTGTTTCATTTCATAAACCGAAAAATCCATAAAATCTGTTTTTGATTCTGTTTTTTTTTTTTATTTGAATTAAGAAAATCCATAAAAAAATTGTTTTATTTACGATCTATTTGTTTCCGCATTTATAAATTTATTAAAAAATCTTAGTTTTCAACTTTGTTCAATTGTTTGATAAAAAGAAATGCCATAAAAATACATATTTTTGTTGATTTCCTTCTATTTTGAGTTTTTGCATTATTTCCCATATTAAATAGAATCAGAAAACGAAAATAAAAAGTTTAAACGTAATTCCAGTTAATTCATAAAAAAAAAAGAATGTTTTTTTTTTGAATTTGCCATAACACTCATTTTCCTTTTCTTGCTGGTTATATTTCAATATTTCCTTTCCTCTTAACTAAAGATATCGACGCTTATTTTCTTGTTTCTTTTGCGAGGTACTTTCTCTAAAGACCAGAAGCGACATGGAAGAAGTTGAAGACCCTTACGAAGCCTTAGAATCTGATTGGAGTCAAGAGGAAGACTTGAACCAAGGCTTGRCWYATGAAGAGGCTGAACKTGWGGAAACCCCATGGTATGAGGATTACTCGGAGTCTGATTTCAATGATGAATCGGGCGGAGAAGACTTCAAACTAGAGCCACCAGACCATGGCATATACAACACAAGTCATCAAAGTTGGTACGAAGAAGAAACTAACCAGGAAGATGAGTCATGGCGCAATGAAACTGATTCTGAAATCAGTTATGAGGATGAACCATATCGTCGTAAGGAAGAATCTGAGTTTGAAGGTGACTACGAAGAAGAGGCTAACCAAACGCGTGAGGATAGAGAACCGTATGAAGAATCACGGATTAAAGATGGAGATTCTCAAAATAGATATGGAGATGAGCAATGGCGTGAGGAAGAAGAAATCATCTATGACGAATATGAAAGAGAATCACAATTTAGCCTAGGAGAAGATTATTTCAGCAAAGAGACTTACCTCGGAGAACTCAATCATGATGGAGAGACATCCAACGAAGATAAACCATGGTGTGAAGAGAAGAATTCTCAAGATAGCCAAGAAGGCACCGAGCAATATGGTGAAGAAACTTGGCACCATGAGGCTGAATCAGAGGCAAGCTTTGAAGGTAAATCATATTATGGAGAAGAAGATCACGAACCAAGGTATATCACCTTTTCAGGTCATGGCCACGGGCCTGAGGCATGTTTGAGATGGGTGAGAGACATGGAAGAATGGTTTTCATCTAACCAAATCCCCGAGGAAGAGAAGACTAATTGTGCAGAGGGGACTCTCACCGAAGATGCTTTTAGGCATTGGGATCAAGATGCATACCAGCGACTTGAGTATGATGAACCAGCCGCCACTTGGGAGGAGATGAAGCAGATCATAAGTGATGAGTTTGTTAGAGACGTTGACAACATGCATCAATACTACTCACGAATATACACCAATCCTGAGCCAACAAGATGGATCCTAGCCACTAGACCAAAACCGAATGCTACACCTAAGAGATTTAGTAGCCCTAACCAAAGAAAGTGTCAACACACGTTCTAAAGGAGAGACCAAACTCAACAATTCAATCAAATGATGACACTCTAAAACCAGTTCGTGAAATCGTACCTCAAAGGCCAAGTCCACCGGCCTCACGTGAACAGCAAGTAAAAGAAACTCCAAGTAAGTCCTCTAAC